GGTTTCGAGAACTTCTCGGGAGGCTGGGGGACTTCCGAGCCTTCTGAGAAGGCCCGCCTCTTCTCACTTCCCCCCGGGGCTCGCCGCCGAGTTCCGGATCATGTTGCGTGGGGGCGCACGAGAGCACAAGCAGCAGGAGGGCGCTCAGACTGACGCTCAAGCCTGCGAACTTCGACCGATGCACGCATCGGAGCCAGCGCAGCTCTCAGCAGTCGTTTTCGCACCCACGTCGTCCGCTGTTTGGCCTCCACAGGACGCGCACGCTCCACTTGGGAAGCTCTTGCAAGTTGAGCGGCAACGTGAGCAATAATGTCGGCTGCCTCGCTATCTGTAGTCATCCAGCTGGGGCCTCCCCTGAACGCCGAGTCGGACGGATCGACATTGGAGGCAAAGTTTAGACTTGTAGCGGAGCCGACGCGAGCGGTCATCAGCAATTTTGTCTTCTCGCCATATGGATGCGAGCTGCCTTGTTGGCTTCTCATACAGCTTGAAACACCAGCCTCTAACAATTTCGTCATTGTGTGCGGCAGCGATGTATCTTAGGGAGAACCGAATGGCTATCTCAAGCCCCGAAGTTCACCCCCTGGCACGGATTGGCTTGTCCCGGCCAGAGATCCCAGGATTGTAGGTCTGACGACCAACGATAACCTAGATGAGGACAGGAGGAGGTGGAGGGAGAATGGAAAGGACAATGAGAAGACAGGAGGAGGTGGAAGGGGCAGGAGGTGGAGGCGGAGAAGGAAATGGTGGGGGAGCACATGAAAGCGAAGGAGGAGGAGAAGGAGGAGGAGGAGGAGGAAAACGATGGGGACGAAGAAGGGGGAAGATGACGCGCGACTCTGTGCTTCCATGATAGAACGTTACAGCACTGGTCGTGGGAATGGTACCAGCCCTGCATGCATTCCCCAGCCACGCGCTTGCCGTCAAAGCGCGGATCCAAGAAATCCGAGCGGACCTCCGAGGTTTTATGTTTATGCCATTTTTCGCTCCCTAGCAACAGCATCTACTGCGTACGCCAGTCAAATCAATGTCTCTGCCTACCCGTTCCGACCCACGCGTGCCGCCCCCACTGTGCTTCCGCAACCACTTCACCTCATCATCCTCAGATTCTCCTCCTGACGGTGGCGGTGAAGCGCCTGTCTTCCAGCGCTGCAATCCCGCTGCAACTGCAGCGTCAGAGCGCGGCCGAGGTAAAACGAACGAGCTCGCCTCAAGCTACTCGCACTCTTGACGGTGGCCCTTGCTGCCTTTGTGATTCCTGGAGGTGCCGTCCCGAGCCACAGCGACGTTTTCGCCCACCAGTGTCCTCCCGTGCCGCCCACTTCACCGATTCCGCTCTGTGCCCGAGCGTTTCACGGTCCCCCCCCCCGCCGGGAGGCCTCCTAGAGCCGCCCCGACGCCGTCTTGAGGTTTTCGCAGGAGACGATCGTGTGCCATGAGTCGTTCGTCGCTGAAAGTTAATACTACTTGATGTCCAGATCATGGTAAACTTCAGCGCCTGCCTATTCATATCTATATATACACAGATAATCAAAGACGGCGTCTTTTAAACTCACTGCGAACTCGCTGGCCGACAGCCAATCTAGTTTAAATGCTTTCCTGCTACATATGTATGCCTTATGGATTCCCTTGTAAGGGTGGCGAGGAACAGGTTCAGTGTGTTCAATTGGTTTGGAAGTTCAAGAGCTTGCTGGAGGGGCTTGCTCCGAGGGGATCCGTGGCATCCTGCCGGGAATTGGTAAACTGAAATTGGGCCGTCATGGGGCGTCCTTTGAGTCCATTCTACGTAATGTCGCTACGTATTGGAAGTGCCTCGGGTTGTCCTGGGACATTTTTGCGCCGTCTGCACTGGGTCTGCGGTCAACGGATGTCCCTCTTGCGCCTTCAGGGCTCCGAGGGCCGCCTTGGAGCAGCCCTAAATCGGTTGGGAGGAAGAGCCCAAGTACATCAAATTCCTCTCCAGGGGGAGCTTTTTCGGCCGGAGGTCTCCGTGGAACCCCGCGGTCACTCGACGACCCCGACGAGGAGGAGGAACAGGAGTTGGATGAGGAGGAGGAGGAGGAGGAGGAGGAAGAGAAGGAGAACGACGACCCCACGATGAGAACGACGACGGCGAGGGCAGCGTTGACGACGACGACGACGACGACGACGACGACGACGACGACGACGACGACGACGACGACGACGGCGGCAGCGGGGGCGGTGGCGGCGGTGGCGGCGGCGGCGGCGACGTGACACTGCAGTTGGTCTCGCCGCCGGCCCGTTGGGCGAGCGATTTTTTCTCATCATCACGCCAGGCTCTGGGGAGGCCCGTGCTGAAGAGCGCAGAAGAAGTTTTAGCACAAGGGTTGGGCGCAAAGTGCGTGGTGCAGCAGCGCAATGATTTTCACAACGCCTTGCAAACCTACTCCGAGCTGGCTTGATGGCATCGCCACGGTTCGGGGCTCGGGACACGACACGACGTTCCCGCGGCCACAGGGACCGCAGGTGAACACGTCGAGTCTATGATTCGCCAAGTCGCAAGGACGGAACGCACGCGCTCGCATGAAGCAGGACGAGTAGATGCCATGTGTCGCTCGACGCGCCATTCAAATTGCCAATGTGTTTTTAGCGAATCAGGCGGCCCGCAAAGCTGCAACGTTAGATTGGCCAGACGGTTGCAACTTCGAGAGGCCATTGGCCAATCCATTGCATACAGACGGTCGCGCCATTTGGTGGGTGTTTCGCAACATGGCCACCCCGAGGAGCGCAAGTTTATGATTTGCTATGACGTACCAGAACTCATCAAGCGCACGCGTTGCACAAACAGTTGTGCTGCAACGACACAAGCGACAAAACTACCGCATGTCAGCCATTTCGGCCACAACCGATTGCAATGTAATCGTCTGTAGCTTGACCTTCTAGACAGACCTACCGTGTCGACCCAGTCCAGGCCCTGATAGTGACCAAGCGCCAACCCTGCTTGCGCACTCCACTATCCTCTTCCTTCTCCGCTGTTAGAGTAAAGCTGACCTCGCAGTTCATGTCGCAAGTGCCCTCAGGCGCTTTTATTACGTTAGGCGTTCGATCATAGACCCCTTTGCGAACCGCAACTGTTCAGCTTTCGCGCCGAGAGCCGCAGGAAACCGCCGAAGACCGTCATAAAACCGCCGAAGACCGCCGAACCCTTGAGATCCGAAGTTGCAAAAAAAATGCAACATCGCCAAAAATCACGACTGGAGCCCCGGACACCATCTTTCTGCGTCATTTTTTCCAGGCGGATCGATCTGTGAGGGCCCCAGGGCCCGTGCCTGGGCGATAACGCCCGTTGTGAAAAAGTTGCGACGCCAGGACCTCACGGAAGCCGCCCGGGGCTGGTGGGCAACAAGGAACCCTTCGTCGAATGTGTGACTTTCTAGGCCTCCTAGATGGGGTCGAAGTAGATGGAGTCGGAGGATCGTGCCGCCTCGCCGATGCATTGGCGATGCGGCTCGAGAAAGCCGCCGGAGGTAGTCCAGCCCCCAGATCCCCCTGGAGTCATGAAATAATCAGGCCTGGAGGTGTTTTCCTTATTTTCGGCCTCTGGGGGCCCTCACCGAGCCTCGGGACCGTCAAAAAGCGATTCGGGATGAATGACACCAGAGAAAAACCCCAATCAGTGGATGGCTTCATCGATGAGGAGATCGACCGGGAACCCAGGAACGCGGAATCCACCGAAGTCGGCCCGGAACCAATAATGAGGAACCCGGGAACCCAGAACCGGGAACCAGGGAACCCAGCCGGCCACCAAAATCGGCGGGACATTCTCGCCAAATCTTTCAATTTCCGCTAGGACCCCTTCAGTGCAGGCACTGATTGGCGAACATGGCGTTTGGGGTCTGGGCCTGGCCCAAACGTCAACAAGGGAGGAACAGACGCCGCCCCAAACCCCATGAGTGGCGTTTTGCGAACCGGCTCTGCTCTGCCTGCTCGATACATGCCTGCAGTCGGGCCTGTCCCTCTACAGGAGGAATATTCAAAAATGATCAAAAAATAGTCTGGGGGCGATTTTCTGATGAGTTTCGACTATTTGTGAGTATGGTTTCGACTATGTTTCACATTTCGTTCAGAATCCGCCTGTAGGAGGACATGTCTTACCTAATACATGCCCTCGATGCGTTTACAAGAGGGCTTCGCTTTTGCAGGGGTGCTTGCTATCAGGGCGGTTATCTGGGTCATCCGCGGGGGCGCGACGGGGCGCGAGAATATCGCGCTTCAAGGGTCGCGGCCTGTGCCAGAGCAGCTGCTCTTCTCCAGGGGGCGGCGGCCAAAGTACTGCTACCGCTATGATGTTCCAACCTCCTTCAGCCTTGACCACCAGAATTAATTTCGAGCACCAAGAAAGCACCGAAATTGGGAGGGTTTTCACGTGTCGGGCCCTGAGAGGCGATACTCGTTCCACACTGTTTCGATACTTTTCTGGGTGCTCGAAATTCGTTCTGGGATGTGGTCCTTAAGTACGATGGGAGCCACATAATCCTACCATTGCTCCTGTTTCTCATCCCCATCTGTCCTGTCGGCATTTAGTCTGGGGGAGGGGGGGAAGTGAGAAGGGGTGGGTATTCTCAGAAGGCTCGGAAGTCCCCCAGCCGTCTGAGAATTTTTCAAAGTTTTCCCCGAAGATGCCGAAGACATGTCAGAAAGCTGGAGGACTTCTGAGAAGTCCCGCCGCTTTCTGAGAAGGCCTTTTCCTTCTCACTTTCCCCCCTGGGTGCGCCGCCGAATTTGGTTTTTGGGTCATGACTCGGTCTCCAGCGGCCGTTCGGGACGATCCCAGCACCCGCGGAACGTTCTCGCCGAGGCGCAGCCGCTGGAACCCACCCCGAGGCTGAAGAGCCGTCGGGAGCTGACGAAAACGTCCTTGAACCCCCAGCCTCGGACCTCTCGCTTCCCCCCCCCCCCTCGCTCGCCGCCGGTCCGTGCTCCTGCCCCCGCTGCCTGCTGCCACCGCCCCGGCGCCGTCGCCCTGCCCCCCTTCGGAGGCCGGCGAGATCCTGGGCGTGACGCAGAAGTTGGGGCAGAACAGGGGCTCCAAGCACATCCTGGACCACCAGGGCCCGGGTCCTCCGCGTCCTGCCTCCCTGCTCCCAGCTCCCAGCTCCATCCCCTCCTCGGTCCTCTGTCCTCCAGCCCCTCCTCCCGTCCTCCCGCCCTCCCCCTCCTCTTCCGTCCTGCTCCCTCCATCCCCCTCCTCCTCCTCCTGTCTCCTCCCCTCCTCCCGCCTTCACCTCCTCCCGCTCCCGTTTCCTCTTCCTTCCTCCTTCGGGCGAGAGGGCGAGCCGGGGAAGCGAGGAGGGAGGAGGGGCGCGGGAGAGGGGCGAGGGGCGCGAGAGCGCGAGGGGGCAAGGGGCAGAGGGGGAGCGAGGCAGTGAGCCGGAGGAGGAGACGGTGCCCATACTGCCACCCTTCGCCCATTGTCCGCTGGTTCGGCCTCCTCCTGCTCCTGCTCCTGCTCCTGCTCCTCCTCCTCCAGTCCTTGTCCTCATAAGTAACTTCTCCCTGTCGCACCCCGAGGCCAGTTTTTAGGGCGAGCGGGGCGTTTCGCCTGAGACTTCTTCACCGTTCATGATCCTGAAGCTTCGAAAGCATGGCAACAGCTTCACAGATGGAGGGCGGGTAGTTTTCAAAATGTGGCTCTCGCCGTAGCGCCGCGCACATTCGTTCTAAAAATGTGTAAGATCTTCACGGATTGAGAGCAGGTGGTTTTCAAAATGTGGTTCTCGCCTTAGCGCCGCGCACACTCTTTAATACAATGTGTCACGGATTGAGGGCAGGTGGTTTACAAAAAGTGGTTCTCGCTTTAGCGCCGCGCACACACGTTTTAAAAATGTGCTAGAGTTTCACGGGGTGATGGCGGGTCGTTTTCAAAATGTGGTTCTCGCCGTAGCGCCGCACACATTCGGTTTAAAAATGTGCCAGAGATTCACGGATTGATGGCGGGTCGTTTCCAAAATGCGGTTCTTCCTTCAGTGAGCCGTGCACATTCGTTTTTTCCTTAATTGCCAGAGTTTCACGGATTGATGGCGGGTCGTTTTCAAAATGTGGTTTTCGCTTTAGCGCCGCGCACATTCGTTTTAAACATTTGCCAGAGTTTCACAGCTTCCCATAGTCAACGTAGCAGAAATAGAGTTTTGGAAAGATTCTGGGTTATGCGGGTGTAACAGTTATGTTGATTCGCGGTGTTGAGGTTCCCAAAACGGCGTTCTGGCACGATTCCAGATAGTCAGAAGAACGCAGCAGTCAGGTTGATCCGTGGCGTGGAAATCTCGAGAACCATATTGTGGCATGTTTCAAGGTCTTCAAGCGGTTGTCTTCCAACGAGGCAGTTCCCTCAATGGAAATGAACCGTTGCAGGGGCCTGTGCAAAGGGAGTTTGGAGGGAGGGTTCATTCCAACATCGTTGATGACTCTTGGGTTTACACTGGTCCTCCTCCTCCTCCTCCTCCTCCTCCTCCTCCGCATGTTCGGCCTCCTGGAAGGCCCGTGTCGCCGCCGCTGGATTCGCCCCGAGAGTCTGGTCAGAACGCAGCCCGGAGAGATCCGGGGAGCAGCGGTACAGCTGCTTTGTTGGTCTCCTCGGTCGGGCGGGGGCGGGGGGGCCAGGCGGGGCGAGAGGGGGCGAGGACGAGCCAGGGAAGTGCTCCCCCCGGCCGCGGCCTGCTCGGGCGGCCAGGTGGCGCTGCGGCGGGGCGCGGCGGACCGGCCAGGGCGCGGGCGTGACACGTGGCCCGCGCCTCCGTTTTTCTCGCGGGAGCGCCGGAGTTCCGCCTGCCCTGCAGCTGGTCGGTCGGAAGACGGGGGGGGGGCCAGGGAAGGGGAGGGGGTACGAAACATGTGGCATGCAGCTGGTCGCAGCCCCCCCGCCCGAAGAGCGCCTGGACAATCAGCTGCGCGAGCCGATTGGCTGGCCCGCCTTTTCATCCGATGCCGGGCTGGTTGGAACAGTTTCCGATAGCCTTACCTTGCCCCTTTCTTCTCCACGTTCTTATCCTTTTTGGTTTTCCACCACATCAGAGTTGTGGTGGTCCTCCACGTCGCCTCGCCTCCATCGCAGAGACGGCGGGTGGTTTGCCTGTGTTCCCATCACACGTTCGAGCCAAGGAGTTTATTTTCAAGGAGCTGGTCAGGTTCAAGAAGATGAATCAGGACGAGGTGCCCCAGGGCGGCATGATGCAGGACTGAGCGGGCTCACGTCTGTGGACGCCCGGGCCAGCCGTGCTGAGTGGGTGCAGCTAGGTGAGCTGTACATTCTGCATCGTGTGTCATCGCCGCTTCTTTGGCGCTATCCCTTGCCGCTTCCTCACATCAATCTCTCGTGCTCGCAGGCCCTCAGCCGTTACCTCTTCCAGTGAGTCGTTCTTAGAGGGGCTTGGTCGAGAAAGCGAAAGGTAGAGCTTTCCATATCCACAGAAGTCGGTGGAAGGTTCGTGGAAGCGTGCGGAGTTGCTGCACAGCAGACGGGCTCACCATCGGAAGTGTCGTGAAGGCCAGCGGAAGTTACACGCGGACCCCGCAACAGAGGCCAATTCCGATGACATCGGGGTTTCCAAGTTCGGTCGTGTCTTTCTCGCCTCGCGGGCTTGCATCCACCCTCATCCCACACCCCTCCCCGTCCAGATCTTCCTCCAACTCCTTTTTGTTTTCACTATGTTGATCCGTAAGGGCTTCGCCCCATTCCGCCGGCCCCCTGTCTCGGATAATGGGAGATGCAAAAGCTAAATCATGAGGTCTGGGCTCCGCCGTGAAGCAGTGTCGGGACCTGTTTGTTTTTCGACCCTGACCTTGCAGATTTGCATCACGGGTGCCACCGAATTTCAGAAATGTAGCAAATCCCTTGTGTTTTTGGACCCTGACCCTACGGATCTGCGTGAGGGGTGCCGCCGAATTTCAGAAATGTGGCAAATCTCATGTGTTTTTGGACCCTGACCCTGCCGATCTACGTGAGACGTGCCACAGACATGTGGCAAATCCCATATTATGTTTTTGGACCCTGACCCCGCCGATCTGCGTGAGGGGTGCCACCGAATTTGAGAAATGTGGCAAATCCCGTGTGTGTTTTGGATCCTGACCCTGCCGATCTGCGTGAGGCGTGCCACCGAATTTGAGAAATGTGGCACATCCCGTGTGGGTTTGGACACTGACCCCGCCGATCTGCGTGAGGGGTGCTACCGAATTTCAGAAATGTAGCAAATCCGTTGTGTTTTTGGACCCTGACCCCAATTTTTACCCACCCCAGCAATTCAGAGCACACGCTCAGGGCGTTGTAAAAGTGCCCGTTTTGGGCCTCCCCCCCTCGCGCGGTCCATCAACAAGGAACAGTAAGCAGCAAGAAGCAGAACTGTAACAGTGGAAACTAGAAGCTGCAACTGGTACAGGAAACTGCGAACCTTCGCCCTACAGCCTGGTGGCCCCACAAGGGGGCCGGCGGATATTTCCGAGTTGTTCGCAAGGTCGGGCCTTCTATCAGGCGGTCGCATTTCCTCCAGACATTACGTGTCTTGCGGCAAGCTCCGCCACCACGCCAGCGCAGCATCGAAGTGAACGCAGGATGGTTCGACAGAGCTATCCCGAAAAGGCTCGGTGGAACCAACAATTTTGGAGTCGTGTTAGAAGCAGCGCCGCAATGACTTAGGCTGGGCGTGGCCGCGTCGTTGCACGCGTCTTGCGTTGCCTACTGTAAGGTTACTGGGGGGTTCGTGCGGGCTTAGTTGGGGCCTCTTGAGCAGAGACCCTCCTCGTTGGGTGCTGATCCAAGCAAGCCAGGGAGTGCACTCACCCTGAGGGTGACAGAAAAGAGAGAGAGAGAGAGAGGCTCTCCTCCTCCTCCTCCGTCGCCATCCCGACGGAGATCCAGCACGTTTAATCGGGTTGTTTCGCGTGCAGTTCAGCACAAGGGCACACCTTAGATCGCAAGTGTTTTATTATGTTCTGCCGTCTTCCCCGGGCCCCAGCTCCCCTCTCCTGGGTCTCTCGCAGGGGGTGCCGAGCCCTGCGGCGAAAACAGGAGTCGGGCGTGAGGGTCGTTGATTGCGACCTGCAGCTTTCGACTCCGTCCAGATGGGCCCGCTGGAGTCTGTGACCCGTCCAGGTCTTGAATCCAGAGTTCTCAACCCCGTGGTGTTTGGTTCCCCTCGGCCTTGCGCGCCGGGTCCTCAGCTTGGGCATCGCTCGGACGTCTGGGTCATCCTGGGCAGAGGCGTGCTGGGTCATCCCGCGAAGAAAACACGCACGAAGCTGGAAAAGGCACGGGGGATGGACGTCCAGGCGATGGCGGGCAGCGACGAGAGGCCAGGGGGAGCAGCAGGTGAGAGTGGAGCGACGGGGGGACGGTCCGCGGCCTGGTGCCGTGGGCAGTGCAAGGCCGTTCGAGTTTCAGTATCGTTTGACCGATCCCCATCCCCATCCCCATCCCCATCCAGACCCCCACCATCTCGTCCCCCCAGTTGGGAATATACCCTTCGAGATCTGATGGAAAGTGCCTATGTCCCCATCTTGGGGGGTAAGCTGGCCAGTGGGGCCCAGGCCACGCGAGTGGGGATAGGGATCGGTTAAACGATGCTCCAGTTGCGACCCTGGCTTCTCACGGGTGCCCAGCTCCTGGGCATCGCTCGGACGTGTGCATGTTCTTCGGCGAGCACTATCGAGGAGCATCTTGGCTCCTCTTGCGAATAATAAGCGCACGAAGCCGAGAGATGCGCGGGGAATGGATGTCCGAGCGATGGCAAGCTCACGGGTGCCCAGCTCTCGCAGGGTGACTTCTGGGGCCTGTCCCCTCCTCCTTCCGACGTAGTCGCTTCCTGCTATTGGTCCAGTTGGTCCTACCGCGCGCCGTTCGTACATAACCATGCGCCGATCGGGTTATGTATTGCACTCGCTCTCTGTAATGGTTCAGCATACCACGGCTTCTCCTTACCCTGTTCCCAAATACGCACCCTTTGCTTGCGTTTCGCCGGTAGTTCTCAATGTGTGTTGTAAGGTGAACGTCGGGTGTTTAGGGGAATCGGACCACGGGTGCGTAGCGAAATCGAAGTCTAAGCATCATTGCCCGATGCCATGGCCATGATGTGCGCATGTGCAAACACACACATAAAGCATACGTCAGCCAGCGTGAACCCCAAACACAGAACGTTCCTTGCAATATGGGTTGTGCAGCCTGTGTTGTATCATGCACGCGAAGCAACATCTGTTGTGCACTATGTTTGGTGACATCTATGTGGTGCAATTGATTTTTACCCATGATTTGACACATCCCATGCTCTTGCAAACATCCCACCCACCCACCCGCAACTTGGTTTTCAAAACCTCTTGAGACCGTGACGGTAGGTACCAGACACCGACGACGACAGCGACTTCGACGACGACGACGACGACGACGCCGACGACTACGACGACAACGACGACGTCTCCGACGATTTCGACGACGACGACGACAACGACGACGACGACGACGACGACGACGTCGACGACGACGACACCGACGACGACGACGCCGACGCCGACACCGACGACGACGATGACGACGCCGCCGACGACGACGACGCCGACGACGACGACGACGTCGACGTCAACGACGACGACGACGACGCCGCCGCCCACGACGCCGACGACGACGACGATGACGACGACGACGAAGACGATGACGACGAGGGAGGAGGGAGGGCGACGACGGCGACAACGACGAAGGAGGAGGGAGGACGGCGACAACGACGATGACTACGACGACGACGACGAAATAGGAGGGACGACGAGCCGACGACGGACGACGACGAAGACGAGGGAGGAGGAAGGACGACCACGGCGACAACGACGACGGAAACGACGACGACGCCAAAGAGGACGACGACGAGGAAAGACAGGACGACGACGGCGACGACGACGACGAGGGAGGAGGGAGGACGGCGACGACGACGACGACGCAACAGCGCGCGCGCACGCTTTTGTTGAAAACCCGTGTTGCGAGGCCATGTGTTTTGCATGTGTTTTGGACACTCGATTTTGAAACCCTTCCGAAACCGGAGGTTTTTGAAGGATTTCGGCATGCATGCGCGCGCGCGACGACGCGCGCGTGCACTTCGCCCCGTTTGTTGCAGAGGATTCTCGCGACAGCACGCGCGCAAGGGCGTTCGAACGATTTCGGCATGCGCGCGCGAAGCCCAATACTGGAAAACCGATGGTGTTCTTACGATTTTGGAAGAACGCGCGCGTAAGCTTTTTTAGAAAGTCCGTGTTGCGAAACCCTGTGTTTTGTATGTGCTTGAGACAGTTGATTTTTTAATCTTTCCGAAACCAGAAAGGTTTCTGAAGGATTTCGGCATGCGCTTGCGACGACGCGCGCGCGTGTGGACTTCATTATGTTTTGTGCGATGGATTCTCGGAAACTTATGATTTTTGACAAACGAGTGTGCGCGCATAGTTATGTTTGCAGAGGATGGCGGGGGGTATGATACCGGCCTGGCTGGAATAGTATGAATTCATAGTTAGGATGGACGATGGGGCAGAATCACGTCTAAATTGCAATACGACAAAGGGGAACCGTTAACTCCGGGGGGGTAGAGTCTATTCTTTTTTTAGAAAAGAAAATCTTGGCAACGACGGGGCGGCGACGGCGACCACAGACCGACGAGCAGGCCAAGACGATGAGCGGCAGGGAGGTGGCGACGGGGCGACAACGGGGAACACATAGCCGCCAGGCCAACGCACAGGCCGCCAGACCGACGCGCAGGCCCAGTTCCTTAGAAAACAAGTAGTAACCCCATAAGTCCCAGCACTGACTGGGGAATTCTATGTTTTCGTGCAATACATATATATATATATAGATAGAAGCATAGTGTGAGAGAGAGGGGGGGGAGAGATGATCTTACGCCGTCTTGTTGGCGCGCTGCGCTGCTTGAGAGCCCGAGAATCGGGTGCTTGCCACCGACGCCGCTTCCTCACGTTCGCCCTTGCCTTCTCCATTTGCGGCCACCCCCCTCTTCGTTTTCAAAGAGCGTTCCTTCTCCCCCATCTCCTCCACGTCCTCTTCGCCCTCACCCATCTCCTCATATCCCCCGCCTTCCGTACCCTGTTTCTCATCGTAGTGTTAATTTTCCTCCCCATTGCCCCTCATGTCTTCATCATCCTCATCATTGCCCCCGTCCTTCTCGTCCTCGTGGTCCTCATTCCCCCCGCGCCCTCCATGCTTC